CGGCCCCGGGAGCTCCCGGCTGCCGCTTCTGCGCCGCGCCTGCAGCCGAGCCGCGGCCTCGAGAACTCGTAACTTCCATTTCCTCGGCAGAGTGCTGAAAATCGGCCCGCTCCGGCAGAGGTCCGGCCGCTCCGAGCGGCGCTGGCTGCCGGCGGGGGGAGGAGACCCCGGCCCCTTCCCGCCCGGCAGGCGGGTGAAAACCACCCCAAGGGGGTTGTTGTCGGGGGCTGCTCCCCCCCTTCCCCTTCTCTCTTCCCACTTCGCCATCAGCAGGCGGTGCCCGCGGGTGGCCGTGCTCGTCCCCGCGGCCCCCCGGCTGGGGGAGGCAGCCTGGGCAGGTAGAGCTCACAGGCCGGCTCCCTCCTGCTTTTGTTCCCAGGCTCTTCCTTAACATCTCTGTCTGGGGGGGGGTGGGGTGCGTGTGTGTGCCCCCCACCCCTTCGCTCCTTACAGTCCTGGAAATGGCATAATTACGGAGGTGGCGATTAAATAGCTGGTGCTTTTCTCGGTTTGGTGACAAGAGCCTACAGAGGGGGAGGGTGCTTGGAGCTAGGAAGCAAGAGTTAAAATGAAGTTAAAGTACAAACAGAAGCACATAGCTGACATGCTTCAAGTTTAGACAGTACAAGATATGCAAATGTGCAGGGCTGCGTGGTATTGACATTTTGAGGTCATAGTGATAGGAATGTATTATTTATAGGACTGGGTTGCACTAGGCCGATAAACTACATTTTAAATCTTAGGCGTTTGCAAGTGCTAAGATTTATATATATGTTTATGCTCTATATGTGTGTATATGCGTACACACACATTTTACCTACGTGTTTTAATATTTCACGATTAATATTCTTCCTGGCAGGCATTACGGTGGGGAGAGCCCTCGCCTGGTGCACGCCTGCAGCCTCCCCGGGCCGCTGGCAGTGATGGCTGCAGCCGGGGAAGGGACCCGCAGAGTTTGCGGCAGGGTTGCGATCTCTGCTTTCTTCCCCCCACGTCCCCTTCCTTTCCCCATACGTCCTCTCCGGCCACAGCTCGCCCTGGAAATGGCGTTTGCCTCCTCGCAGCTCTGTCTTTCTGCCAGGAACTGTTCCCTCTCTTTTGCTCCGACAGGCTCCTGAACCGAGGGGAAACTCTGTGGGTGGGTGGTTAGAAAACGGATTGTTTCTCATGTAAATTTTACCCAGTCTCTCTGCACTTTGTATCCCTGCTTTTTCCTTAGCCAATTCTTGCTGAGGAAAAAAGAAAAAAAAAAGAAAAAGAAAAAGATTAATGACATGTAAAATGGGGGGGGTGGGGGGAGAAAGAAAGCTAGAGGCAAATTTCCACATCCCCTTCCTCTGGACATCCTGGTGGGTTTTCCATAGAAACTTTCACACACTGGCCAGACAGATGCTTAGAGGGGATGGAAGAAAATAATGAGCCCACGATGGGAAAACAATTGCATGCCCAGCTTTCTACCTCCATTAAAGGCTCCTTTGCCTTTGCAGCAGAGCCCTCTCCCTTCGCCCTGACTGGCAGGGATGCTCCCACAGCAGCAGCGGCTGCGTGGCAGCCATGGGAAAGCCGCCCTTTTGGCTTCTGGAAGTGGGAACTTGGTTTCCCCGCGGGGGGAAAGCAGCCTTTGTGCCTGCCCGGCTTCCCTAATGTGGAGAAAATTCCCATTAATTTTGTGAGGAAACATTTTGTTATGCGTGTTTCAACAAAACATTAAAAATCCTACTCGTAATTTTTTTTAGAAATCACTCTCGCAGCTTGACAGCCTTGCTGGAGCCCCAGCCAGGCCTGCCCGAGACGGCGCAGAGAGGCCTCTCTCTCCCTCTCCCTCTCTGTTGGCTGCTCTTTTCCTGTCTAATCAATTATCTCCCTAGCTAGTCCTTCTCAAAGGTGAGAGCTCATTATGCATATTCATAAATCACAGCTCCCAGACCTGACACTGATTGATGTAATCATCTCCTGCTCGCTCCCTGTCTGCGCGGGCCGGCCGGAGGAAGCGCCGGCGAGGAGGAGGAGGAGGAGGAGAAGGAGGAGGCAGGAGAAAGAGACTTCCAACTTGTCAGACCCACTTCTGCTGGGAGCGGCTGGCCGGGCGTAGCAGGCTGTGTCAGGCTTCCTATTCACCGCGGCCAAAGTGCCCATCACAGCCCGGGGATAAAACCACAGGAGAAAGGCCTGTGAGCTGAGAAATACCAGTGAGCTGCCTCCAGTCTGGCTAACTGTTAGGCAGGCAAAATGAGAAGAGTAAGGAAAAGATCCAGCACGATTTTCACAATCGGGCACCAGACCGTGCATTAAAATACCCCCCCCGCCCCGATCATTCGTGTTAGCTAATGTGCTTGCTGTTATTTTCCTCAGAAGGTTAAAGCTGGTTTATCCTCATAAGAACAGATGGATTCTGTATGGATTCTGATCATAGATATGCGATATAGCAAATGTCTTCAATATTATACCTGCAGCAGCCCTCAGTAGCTCTGTCGTCCAAAAAGAAAAGAAAAAAGTTGTGAATAACGTGAGTTACTGCTGCAAGGGTTTGAGAGCAAAAGGGCTCCTCCAGCCCAGTGTACCCGCTTTCCAGATAGGAACGTATAGCTCAGCTATGACTGGTTTCCCAAGGCGTGCTTCAGCAGGGCAGCGTTCAAGATGCTGTTCAGATTATGTGGTTTACCTGTATGGTTAATATTTACGCTTTTAAAATACCTCTTTTTATCGCTTTGATCAGAACCATCAGTGTACTAAAGTAATAATACAAAAATATATGCCCTGGAAATCATAACAAGATACAAATCAAAGGGAGCCCTAATCGAGTACTTTTGAGAGTGTTATCTTCCTTGTTAACAAATGGTAATAAGAAAATTAAGGCTTATAGCTTGCTTGCGTTTTATCTAAGAAAGCCAATAAAGATATCAGATGTTCTTTGTTTTATATGTTTGAATGTAAAGCAGAATAATGAAGAACACGTACCTTCTAAGGCTTCATTTGCTTTATGGGTATTAACCCTTTAGCATGCCAGTGAAATTCTGAATATGCAGAATGAGGACAAGACTGTGCTGCCACCCAGGGTTTTGAGGCCCGTCTTTGCTGCAGTCAAGACAACATCTTTTTTTATTAAATGCTGAAATTGGAACAAAGCAACAATGGCTGCTTGCTAACTGTGCATGTCCAACAGGCCTCTTTACTATTCAGCAAATGGAAGATATTAAACAACATTTTGCTTAAAGGTACACTGAGGCCATTTCCATTAGGACATGGTGTCATTCATTTATTCACATGTTAAGTGGATGTCCTTGTGGCTAATGAGTAATAATCAACAGTGACTCCACTTTATTCCTTTGCTCCCAGCAATGTTAAATACGCTGATGGAGTCTCTTTGCTGACACACTAGAGAATATGGCTAAAAAGTGCTAAAGGACATTTTTAGTGTAGAGCAGCCACATACCCACATGCTGGAAATAGCACTTTTATGACAGTCTATTCTATTAGGCTTTGTTCCTGTTTAAGGCATGGCGTGTGGAAACCACCGATACTTATTTGAAGGTACTTTATGCCTTAAAAGCCAAGAACTCTCTCGGTTTGAGAGTCAATGTGGTTATTGCTGGGAGATGAGCTCTCGGCCAGCGGGTTTATTAAAGAAAAAAAAAAAAAAATCAAACCGCACCTTACGGTGCCTTCTCTAGATTCTGTACATGACTTCAGATAAATGTTTAGTGGAGAAGTGATTTAGGACAAAACCTTTCCTGCAAAAAATCTAGTTTGACATTTATTTTATAAAACAAAGTAACTCCCCTACCAGCTAATTAATCCATTTTATTACATCAACCGCAGCAGCTTCGTAGGCTAATAAACTATAATAATATATATTTTTTCCTTTACATGATTGCTTATACTGGAGTCTGCAGCTTGGTTGTCTCCTGTGTCAATTCCTAAAGTTTGAAACGTATAAATGAATCATTCTTGGTCATGATTAAGCTTAAGTTAGAAATAAAATATGTCAATCAATCTGGTTGGAAATGTTCCTGCTGTCTAAGTTGGTTATGCAAAACACTCTAAGGTGTGTAGGCATGCTCAATTAGGTCAAGGGATCTGATGGCACTCCTAGCCATAAATGTGTGTCACTTGGATTCCTCATTATTTTTAGCAGTGGTGAAAATGCATGTCAGTAGGCCAGCTAGCCAGGCTAGAATAAAATTACTTACCGGGTATGCATAAAACTGAGGTTTTAATACATTAATATTATACTTATTTTCAGGCAAAACAGTGAAAAGAAAAATCTCTCCTCTCTCTCTCTCTCTCTCTCTCTCATATAGATGACTCACTCTATTGAATTTCTCAGCAATCATTAGTGTAATTCACACTGGACTATGCAATACTCGAGATAACTTAGCAGTAAAATTTAAGTGCCTAAAAACATAGATGTAATGTGAAATTAGATACAAGAAGTAAAACATCGATTTGCTCTGTTACAGTCTAACTTGCTTCCAAGAAAAATAAAGCTTCACTAGGAGATTAGACCAGCCCCAATCCAAAATAATTTAATGAAAAAGGACACTTGAGAGGGCTAGTGAAGAGCAGTGCTAGTGCCGGTGTTCTCAGATGGAGGCTTTTGCAAGTGATTCCTACAGAAGACAATGTCAGAAATTTATGCTTGATAGACAGGTTTCCTCTGGTGTACTACATCATAGCCTGATACAAACAGAAATGTTTCCATGTAGTTCCAGGAAAAAAATGCCAGGAAAAGCAAGTTTTAGCGCTCATGCCTGCCCTCCTGGCATCTGGTGTAGTTGCTGAGATTACCTGAATTGGCTAAATGACTAGGGTTAAATCCTCCGGTTGTAAACTTTCCATGCTGGTACTCTGAACCACACCGAGACCTTGGGCTTGGGCATGAGAAAGTGAAGGAGAAACCAGCTAAACACAGCACTCCAGCCTGGTTTTGTTACATGAAAAACCAAAAACAAAACCAAAAACAAACCAACAACAACTAAATGCAGGACACTGGCAAACTAAAAGAAAAATGTTGCTTCCAAGAATCAGAGGCAGGACTAGTACTGCAGGTAAGGCTGGTGCTTCTTAAACACTGTTCTTAAATGTGGTGTTAAAGATGGCAGTGTCCCTTTAAGCACAGCACCATGCAGCTAATATTTTCTTTACTGCCAATAAAATGCAATTAAATCTCATGAATTAATATATTCACTTCAGGAAGAATTTCCATTCTTTTCTTCGGATATCAAAATGGAGCCATCATCAGTCAGTTAGTTAAATAGGAGAATCCGGAGAGTAAGTAAATGGAAGAGCTTTCAAATGCAGGGCTGAAAATGCCCAATGAATGTGTAGGGGGGCTTCAATAAAAAGATTTTGACTTGTGTTTTCACCCCTTTCCCACTTTGCTCATTGTTTACTGACACTGCTATGGACACAGTATTCAGTCCCTGCCCGCCCCAGCCCTGGGATGTAAAAATGTCATCTCTATTGTGCTGCCGGGCTCGCTTTGATGCTGCCGCAGCCCTTTGTGTGCCCTTCTCAATCCCTTTATAAGGCTGTCCTGATTGTCCATACTGAACATCGCCACAAAAGCTCGTCTTATTGAGAAAATAAAAAAGTCAGAGAGGGGCCAAATGACGGGAGATTGGGCCTTTGCTGTAAAAGACCTACTATTCACATTCAGCAGTCATTTTTTCACCAAGGAATTACAAAGTTGGGACTGTGGCCACACCAGCAAAGCCATTTTAGACAATTTCTTCTTATATTTAGTTTATAATTACTATTATGGGTTTTTTTTTAAAGATCACGTACTGCTGAGGACAAACATTAAATCCTAGAAGCGGTTGCGGAAGGTATTTTCACCTTTCCAAAGGAAAACTACTGCATAACTCCAATGTGCATGTTTTGTCTGGGAAGTTTAGATGAGCAGATTGTATGGAGATTCAACTACATACATACACTACAAGAAGGGCTTGTTGTGATAATAAAATAAGCCAGAAACAGACCCCATCTCCCCCTACTATGTAGGAGCGCACATATTTGCAACTGAGAACCTGAGATCGAGGGTTTAAATTGTCAGCCTAGAAAACCTCTACCAGTTGTTCTTCCCCCTAACGCTATCCTAACTTGTACCGAGTGTCCG